GACAGGGTCGTCCCAATATGCGTTTTTGCAATTTGCATATAGGCAAAAACGCATAAAAACTGAGAAGCCGAAATTCTAAGGGATGTTCTCAGCTCAAGCATAACTTTAAAACTTCAAATTCAGCCCCAGGTATGCGTGGCTCTCACGTACGGCTCCGTGAAAGTTTTTAGCGGAAAGATCACTAACTCAGGAACCAAGGAAGCTGGGAGGCTGAAATTTTAAGATGTTCCCTGACCAAGTACCATATAGTTGCACAAGTTCCTAAACTTCGAGGACCAGAGTGCCATAAATTCTAGCTACTGGAACTTCAAACGTTCTTACATTAGCAGGAAATACGGCAAAAACGCATGATCGCACGGGCCCGCCCAATGCGCGTTGCCAGTGATTTTACATTTTGGTCTGTGCAAAAATAATCAATATGCTGTTTGCTTCATAAGCTGCGAAGTTTACCATTAAAAACCTCACATACCGCTACGTGAAACGGTAGGCTACATGAAAGCGTCTGCATAGGCAGAAAGCATCCTCCTAAAGTTTTCAGCCTCTTAGCTCTTCTCGTCACAACGTAATAATTTTTTTCGCCAAAACTTTCACTGGACCATATGTGGTACCCAAGCGAACAAGAAGACTGAATTCAAATTTATGGTGTCTTATGTAGGAAGGGGACATCCCTCTAAGATTTTAGCTCTCTAGATTTTGTTGTTCCCGAAATAATTTTCCCTGCCAAAACTTTCACGAAACCGTACGTGATACCTTTGCGCGCGGGAAGACCTAATTTTGATTTTCTGGGTCGCAGTTGGACAGGGCAAAGTACTGTAAAGTTTCAACTTCCCGGCGTTCGTGGTTCCCTAGATAACAATTTCCCCCGCCAAAACTCTCGCCAGGTTGTTTGTGATACCAAAGGGTACATGAAGGCTGAGTTTAAATCTGAAAAGCAGCAAATGAACGGGGAATATTCTACTAAAATTTCAGTTTCCCAGGTTTTGTGGTTCCCGAGTTGAAAGTGCGGTACAAAATGCACTCGGACACACACACAGATAAAAACGCATAAAAGTGATCGGACAAAGATGTCCTGTACTACGCTTGAACGCTAAGAAAATGTCAAAGAAAGGGCATACACACGGGCTAGGAAGCGATAAAATAAGAGAGGGGTGTGTACCACTCTCTCAGGTTGTAAGATGCACGGCTGAAGGTGCAGCATAAAATGGCGACTTTCGCACGCACTCATGCAAATATGACGGAAAGGGGTTTTATGCGTTTTTGCATACTTTTGCAAATACAACCCCTGTATCGAAGCGCCAGGTTTGCTGGTGCGATCGCGGTTTTTGCATAATTCCATCCTGTAGAGATATTGTCAGTACTAGGGGTGAGACTGCGGTTCTACAGTTAGAAAGTCTGAAGTGTCTGTAAGCAAGATCAGGCCTGGGCAGAAGCTCATCTTACGCTTGGTGGCCCACTTAAGAACAGCAAACACTCTCAGAAAAATGCTGCTTCCTACCTAGTCTGGTTACCAAGTTAACAGAGTGTCAGCAGTGTCCCGAACTAAATATTCACTTGTACTAATGCTTCATGCTTCGTCTTGGCATGCTTCATCGTTTTTAGATGTACATGTCGGCGTAGAATAACCTCGTAAAGTTTCAGTCCTCTAGCTTGGCTTTTGACGAAATCGCTTTTCGTTACATATATCCCCCACATGCAAGAAAAGACCAGAACACAGCCAACATACGTATATATGTTAAATTGTAAAGCGGCATTTATATTGTATTTATATTGTCAACAATTTGATTGCTTCGAGTTTAATCGCAAAAACGCATGATCGCATCAGCACACGCTCGCGCACTCAACTTTGCAGCTCCACAAGCACATTAGCTAGGCAGAAGAAATTTTGGGATCACAGTGTAAAACACGCTTGTAAGTGTATTAAAGCAGCTTTCAAGCTCTATACATACAATGTACAGACACGTAAAACTTGGCGCTGACAGTAACTCGGCAACCGAACGAGCTAAAAAGCTCAAATTTTGTTAGCACAGCCGCTGATTATGTGGAGGTTAACAAACATTAAATCAGCCTTCATGACCTCCTAATTCCTACGTATGGAAACCAGCAGCCTGATATTAATAAATTTGTAAGTTCGCAGCTAAACTATTCGTTTAGTTAGTTTGTAAGTCTAGTCTATGACAATTTGCATTTATATGAAAAAGAAAAAAACTTTCAAGTCCTCGTACGTATTACGCACGGGCACGTAGCATTTGACCCAAGAATAGACAACCAGACCAACTGGAAGGCTGAAATTTTGCAGGCATGATCTAAGATTATAAGCGAGTAAGTGTACATGAAATCAAGACCTCCCTCCCACGCGCGGATATGTGAAAATTGATGGAAACTAATTTTCGATTTTAGCACAACACTTAAACACCGCGAAAACAAAAGGACTTTTTCACATTCAATATACATTTTTTTATTCGTTTAGTAACATATACCTCTTGGGAAACCTGCGCAACTTAGCAACAAGCATGTGTTCGGAAAATTGTACGAAAAACACTTGTTCTCACTAATGCCTTGGCGAGCGCTACAATTTACTTTAAAACCGTCATGCGCTCTAGAATCGATCTCAAACCTGGGCCCGACTGCTGCAGCAGTCACTCTCTATCGAACGGTGGATTGAGGAGAAACTGAGAGGACAAACAGAGGGAGGAAGAAGAAAATTACTTAAAACCCTACAGGCCCGCTATAAGCGCTATTATTCTAAAAATAAATACTCCTTTTGCTAGATGATAAAACGGTTGGCAATGGAGGAATTTATTTTTCACTGACAGAAAAAAGACTCTTAAAAATTTTATCGATATTTTCCATCGAGGATTTTTTTAACCATTTCTTTACCAGGAAAAGACGAGAGGAAAGAAGAGGAAGAAAACTGGGTCAGAATCCGCACTGGGTCAGAATCTACCGAAGCATAGACGTTTTAAGTGGCAGGAGTCACAGCTGAGGATATGTCTGAACGTAAAAATGGTTAGAAATGGACCCGAAACAAACTAGCGCCCCCATATCTACAATTCCAACTACTAACAAATCGGTCAGAGGATGGAAAGAATCAGAGTTGCAAAATATATAAAAAACGTGGGGATGAGACTGATACGCACAAAACAGAGGTCTCGACTGATCACAAAAATATACCTGAATTATAAAAAAAGTACAAATCAGAAAAAAAAACCGGTGAAATTTCACATCGATGTTTCGATAGGCAAAGCTTTGCCTGCGGAATTGCTTCGATGATACTGATACGACGGGGTTATGAGATCAACAAGTGACTGACTTGACTGTGCATTTCGTTCAAACTGTTTGCTGGCCGGTGGATTTGGTGGGGGCAAACAAGGTCGAACTTTTGTCCTACAGGATGATGAACCATAAAAAGCTCTATTTGGTGGCAGTTCTGTTGTAATTTCACAAACGGTACGTCTTGGCGGGGATGAGATTTTTGGAATTTTTAAAGGTGAAGATTGCTGTTTGACTCTGGAAGTATGACGTGGTGGTGGTGGGGCGACACGCTTTGGCCTAAGCGACACTTCATTTCTTTTCTGCTCCAGTTCCACAGAAGTACCATTCACTAAAATATAATAAATGATGAGCCAATAAAAAACTATACCATTGGTAAAACAGAGCCGTGCATTTCGAAAGCTCTGAAATGGTCAGTGCTGATCAGTATGCTCAATTTCCGCACAATTCTGTTACAAGCCTGCAGCACTCCTTTGCAATGTGCTGTGTTGCAAACAGTGCATTTACAGGAGGACGTCTGGATGAGGCGATTGTCTTGCCAACGAAACGACGGGTCAACAGCGTCATGAAAGGCTGTTGAAAACATCGAGTAAATTAAAGCAAATGGGAAGGGAGAAGTAATCAGTCGATATGCAGACATTTCACGCATATCTAACTCCGCTCATTTACAAAAACACACTTCCAGCACATCAGATGCCAATGACGAAAGCACAATTTAATGGCATGAGCTGCTTAGAGAATTACTTTTGGATGATTTCGGCAATACATTTAACAATATGGAAACCAAAGAAATAAAAAATAGAAATCAACGAAGTGTGGGGAGAAAGCCCTACGGCACTCTTGACTGCTACCGCTTTCCAGAGACACTACTCTAAGACAAAATTAAATGGAAACATCTACAGAAGCCCGATACCCAGCACTGAATTATTCCGGTTTCTAACACTAGCTGATAAATCTGAATTAGTATTCGCAACATCGCTCATTCATTCATTCTTTCTGGTTTTCGTCATCCACCCCCCTCCCCTCTTCCTCTTGCTTTGCTTTCCCTTTTTTCTTATAATCTAATAAGATTACATTGCAGCCGCGGCACTGATGCGGTCCTGCTGAATAAGAGTATGTATGATTTGATGGATCCTATTCAGGATTTAAATTCTAAATTCTTTTTCATTATCAGTCTATTCATTATTGTAACCCCAATATTTTGTAATTATCTGACTCACAATTGCATAATTTTGAATCGAACAACGGTGGCGGTGGCTGTTCCAACAAATTCGTGTAGCTGGATCGCGTACCAAGTGTATCCTGTGCTGGGTGGAACTGTGGAGCGCTCAATAACAGTGAATGCTCTGAGTGGTTTAGCAGCGGCCTTGCCTGCAACCTTTTTAACTGTTCACAGGGTCATTTTAAAATTTGTAAACCGACCACTGCGAAGGTTTCTTGGTAGCATCAGAAAAAGACAGGTACATGCATGTTCATTTCTCAGATGTTCCCGGCAATTTGACTATTAAAAGTTCATAAAAAAGACAGATTTTATTTTCTAAAGGCGTGTTAATTACAGAAGCAGTCTGTTGTTAATTTTCAATAGATGTAACTTTTAAAGTATTCGTTTCTTTTATGCCAGATGTGTTATCGTCCCCTTCAATTTTCAATTATCTTTATTCTTAACTTATCCACATTTCTTCGTCAAACTGTTTTTCTCTTTAAATGGAGCGCAAATTATAAATGCTCGGAGGGGAAGGGGAGGAAGAGAACAATAAGGAAAGAACTTGCGCGGAGAGAACAATAAAGAAAGAAATTGCGCAGAAAACTTAAAACAACGAGTTTTTCCTCTTTTTTAAAGAATTAACAACGTCCGATAAGCGCCTTCTTAAGAACAAAAGAACGGACTTCACGATCAGAACCCACACAGTCAGAATAACTGCTGATGAAATTCTATCAAATACATTGCCTATGAAACATCTGAACGATACAACCTGCAGTGTTCGATCAGACACCGTGGAGGAATGTGCGCTGTTGGAATCTGTGAGCGTTGAATCGCCACCATCAGGACAAGTTGAGCATGTAACTGTGTCAGTACCCGTGCTATAGATTGATTCATCGGTGTTACGCCGTGAAATCAATCGTGTATCGCTGGTAGAGGTGTGTGCACTTCCAGAAGAGCCATAAGTGTTGAACAAACTCATTGATATTTCCGCATACGGATCTGGTCTCGAAGACACGAAATTCCTGGATTATTTAAAATCATATTCACAAATGAAAAGTCCATGAAAAACGTGTTCAGTGTATAGCTTTTTCCAAGGGGTGCATGTTCATAAGGAGTTTGAACATGGTCAACTACAGACTGACAAAACAAATATTCAATCAGTGCAAGATATTTATGATAAACATGCAACCTGAGATTTCGGTGAATTTAAACATCGGCACGGTGCGCGATATACAGTCTAAATAAAGTTGCCGAAGCAACTCAGCCTTTCATGAATATCAACTCATGAGAAAAACGAGTATCAAAAAGGTACGATTCAGAGGAGGATTTGAACTGTGAGAAATGCAGGGCACCAGCAGAACGTGTTCAGGGAATGTTCCTAGCTCATGTACAATAAAAATTTGTCAGATTCAGACTTCAGGCATTCGTGGTTCTCTCGTACGGTCCGGTAAAATTTTTTGGCAGAAAAATGGCTAACTCGGGAGCTGGAAAAGCTGGGAGGCTGAAATTTCCGGGAATGTTCCTAGCCCATGTACATCAAAAATTTATCAGATTCAGTCTTCAGGCATTCATGGTTCTCTCGTACGGTCCGGTAAAGTTTTTTGGTGGAAAAATGGCTTACTCGGCAAATAGGAAAGATGGGAACTGAAATTTTAAGGATGTGTTCCCAGCCCCCCTGTAAGTTAAAGATATTAAATTCAGCTCCCAAATAGGTATGATTCTCATGTACAAACCCATTAAACTGTTTGGAAGGAAAACTGCTAACTCTAGAACGGGTGAAGTTGGAAAGCTAAAATTTTAGCGCAATGTTGCTTGTCCAAGTACCGCGTAGACAATTAAATTCTCGAACTTCGAGGACCAGTACGTCGCAAATCCTAGCTACCAGATTTTCGAGCGATCTCATTACAGCACGAAATACTGCAAAAATGCATGATCGCACGGGCCCGCCCGGTGCACATCGCCAATGATTTGCACAAGGCCCCGCCGTTTTTTCGGTGAGCGGTCATTCATCGAAAACTGCAAATTTGAAAATGCAGGGGATGCTGGAAGAAAACTGAGAAACCCGCAACACGTACTCGCTTTAGAGTCTGCGGTGAAACTGAGTATTTATCATGTCCGTGTGCAGGGGATTTAGAATCTAAGCTGGATTAAGACGTTAAGACCATAAATGAGTGTAGAATATCAAATTGTAACGATGACACAAGGCAAGGAACACGCCCGCAAAATTTCAGCGTCCCAATTTTCCTGATTGCTAAGTTGAAAGTGGGTGACAAAATTTATACGCACACACACATACACACTGACATTACAATATACGTCTTTTCTGCCTGTTGCAGCGCTCTAGTGCTGCGCGGCAAAAACGCATAAAAAGTGAGAATGACACACGGGTTGGGAATATATGCCCGAAATTTCTGCCTCACAGCTTTCCTGCTTGCTGAGATGAAAGTGGGTGACAAAGTTCACTCACTTTCGAACATACACATAGACGACCTCTCGACAATATGCGTTTTTGCTCGCTATAGCAGCGCTGCTGCAGCGGGCAAAAACGCATAAAAACCAAAATACGCACACACACTCAGGTCACCGCTGAATACGCTTTTGTTTGCTTATGCCACAAAAAACAGAACAGGACAAGAATTTAGGAAAAGCTCAGCTCTCTTTGAATTGAAATAAAATACTTCGCCGAAGGCGTCCCACAGGCAAACCTTTCGATGCTTCTCGCAGAACAGGAATCGGAATTGGAGGCTGTCGACGAAGTCATGGGCAATCTGGAACTCTGGTCAGTGAACGAAGTGACAAGACTATTTTTTGAGCACGTCCTCGTGGGAACTGTTGTTGCTGTAGTTGGCGACCAAGTACCCTCCTCTCCATGCACCATATCACGATGTGCTTTCATAATTACGTCATCCACATGCGAGACCGCGCCATTCATTGTACCAAATGTCGCAGCCTAAACTGAATTACTAACTCCACAATTCTGCGTATCGTCAGAATGCATGGTACATCCACTACGCATATATATGCCTGAACAGTCTGTGTAGAGGCGCAAACGTCGTAATATTACTGGAAAGCATCCGCTCACGAGGCACAGCCATAGGTGAAGTATATATATATATATATATATATTCATATATATATATGTATACTTATATATATGTATACTTATATATATGTATACTTAT